CAAGTTTAAATGAGCGCAAGAAAAGTGGAATAAGCTGAAAAGGCTAAAATTAGCATAAAACAGCTAAATAGTAGCCGAAATAGCAGTAAATACTGAAACTTGCAGAAGTAAGCTGAAAGAAGCATAACATGTTGAAAGTAGCAGTAATAAGTTAGAAGAACTTTCTGGGTGGAGTTTGCATGTTCTCTCCGTGCATGCGTGGGTTTTCTCCGGGTACTCCGGTTTCCTCCCACAGACCAAAAACATGCATGTTAGGCTGATTGGTGACTCTAAATTGTCCCTAGGTGTGAGTGAGAGAGTGAATGGTTGTCTCGTTTGTCTCTCTGTGGCCCTGTGATGGACTGGAGACCTGTCCAGGGTGTACCCCGCCCCTCGCACAATGATTGCCGGACATGGGCACTGGCGACCCCCGTGACCCAAAATGGAAGAAGCGGGTAAAAGATAATGGATGGATGGTAGTTAGCAGAATGGAGCACAAAACAGCTGAAAAAAACAGCTGAAAGTAGCTGAAAAAAGTTTAAATTTACAGAAGGAAGCTGAAAGAAGCTGAACCAGAACAAAATGTGAAAGGAGCAGTAAAAGGTTGTAAACACATCTAAAGATTTGAAGGATGTAAAATGAGCTCTATTCATTGTCTACGCAAAAAAAGTGACAGAAAAGGCTAAAAAGCTAAAGTTGCACCAATACCAAAAGTCATACTACCCTTCTGTTGGACGAGCTGAACGTTTTGATATATGATTTGTTGAAATAGTGTAAAATTTGTGGAACGAGAAAGAGGAAGAAAAACATACAGAAGAAAAATAGATCACAATAGTGTGAATGCTTCATAAACATTCCCACTATTAGCCAATCAGGCTGCAGCAGACTGGGCCAGAACAGCAATAACACACACCAACAGCATGTATTTCAATGTAAAGTGTTAACTCACAACAAGCACATCAGAGCAAAAAGTAGAGAGAGCGAAACAAGAGCACAGACACTGATTTAAATAAATATAGCCATGGGATGTGCATATTGGGCATTTTCAGGCCAGGTGTGGATGCACCGCTCTAAAAATCACAAAAATATATCAACCACGTGCAACAACAACAAACAGCAACGCAAATAAGCTACAACTTGTGTGAAATCTTTAAATCCCAACACACCCTAAACTGTTGTTGTGACAGCAGACTTGAGTAAATGTTTTGTTGAAGCTGGAGACGCCTCTATCTCTGCATTAAATAAATAAATAAAAGTAGGCCTCTGCTGAAGAGTTCACCTTCACCAGGGTTAGTGAGCTCTGCAGGATGAACCATAGCTGACCTACTAACTGAGCAGCAGATGCTGATTTTCTAGTTGCCCGGATGAATGGATGTTTTCAGCACACGTGCTACGATTTGCTGGCTGTTTGCGCGACTGGCAGGTTAATGGCTTGTTGAATGACTTCACTTTCACTTGGGTTTGACGAGCTGACTCAGTGACTGAACGTAGAGCTACATCATTAAAACGACTGAATCACACAGTTGCATCACTGAACTGTTGCCAACAGTATGAGAAAACAATCATACATGCTAAGTTTCAGCACTTTTTAATCACAAGTTACCCTAAATTTCTCCTGAGGTTGATGAAATCTACTGAACATGATATACAGAACATGAAAAATGTGATAGATGTCCTGCGTAGGACAATTTTTATCCAAACTACTGTCCTCATGTTCCTCACCGGAGTGGAACTGACCATCTCCTAAAGGTTAATTATTATTGTTCTGAGGGCCTAAACAAACAGACTAATTACTTTTCAGCACATGTGCACCAGAGCCTGGATCTCAGTCAACATGTAACACAAATTAGGTTTCCACAAAGTCCAACAGCTGGCATGCGCAGGTACAAAACTGCATACACCTGATTTATAATTTGGAATATAAATGAAGGAATATACACCTTAAAATGAATGTTTCTGCTCTGATCATTCTTCAGAGCAGAAACACTCATTTTGGACAGAAAACTCGTCCAAAGTTTGAGCCTGTGTCTGTTTGTTTGCCTGCAACATTGTCAAAGACCTCATGAACATCTGGACAAATGTTTATGAAAATCTTAGAAAATATTAAATGGGCAAACATCTACACCTCATTAATCTTTGGCACCAACTCATTTAAGATGGCTGCCACAGCTAACTGCTATTAGACAATAGAAAAATGGTTACAACTCAGTTTTACAGGTACTGAGCTAAACTTTGATGTGGTAGTAGCTGAGAGTCATCCTCAACTCATATCTTTATCCATCTTTGCTTCAAACCATCCTATTATATATTCAATGCTGCCTGTTAGCAAAATATCACAAATCATTAGGCAAGTTTTGATGAAAATCTCAGAAAGTATTCATTGGATTTACCTTGATTTACAATTTATGATGTCTGTTAATGCTTATCTAACTTTGAAACACATTTATAAAAAATAAAAAAAAGTCTAGAACTTACTCAAAATTACCGATAATGCCATGGCATGTATGGTAGTAGCTGAGAGTCATCCTAAACCAGGGCTATTTAATTAAATTGCTCAGGGGGGCACAGTTACTGAAAGCCAAGAGCTCAGGGGTCGGACATCCAGCAGATATTGGCATTAAGTGAGTTTGTTTTAGTTTAAAATCTAGTTTTAATTAAGAAGGAACCCATTGGTGGGTCGAACTGAGCTCACCTGTGGGCCTGATTTGGCCCCCGGACCGCCAGTTGAATAGCCCTGTCTTAAACACAAACTGCAGCATTCCCACATGATGTGGCAGCCATAAACTTTGTCATGACAGGTGGGGGGTGACAAGCATTCCTTCAAGCTTGGCCTTTAATTTTAGATAAGTCCTGTTGATGTTAAAACTATTTGTCTGAAGAGTAGAAGAAAGAGAAGATTTGATCTATACCAAGTGACAAACACGTGCATCCAAAAACAAAATGATTAAGTTTGACTTGTGCGCCACCATTATCATAAATATTAACCTGTTTCTTGCACATGATCTTATTTTCACATTGAAATTATTTGCTTTAGATTATTTTTTGACTCGTGGTCCAAAGCGCAGCCACAACGAATCAACGCTTCCTGGAATAAAAAACATCCAGCTCGTGTCCAAAGCAGAAAGACGCGTCGCGAATCTGCGAGAGCCCATCCAGAGTCCGAACCAGAACCCAGCCCTGCTCTCTGTGCGCGGGTAATAAAGGTTTTACGGTCAGATCAGCGCGATACAACGGAGACACGCTGATCCACCGAGGCCACATGAGCACCGGATGTACTTGTGTCCGGCCTGTGGAGCCCCGTGGAGCAGGTTTGCACCGCGTGCGGACGCATCCACTTACGCATCGCGGCCACGGAGCGATGGGAAGCCAAGCAGCCTGAACGACGCGCGATCTTCCGCCTTGATACCGAATCCCGTGCACAGCTCCGCGAGCCGAGGCGCACGGCGGTTGTTGCCGCCCGGGTCTGTGTCTATTGGTTCCCTTTCAGCTGGGGCAGCGTCGGCGCGCGCGCGCACACACGCACACGCCTCCATTTGCAACTCCATCGCCCCCCATGGGCGTGCGAGGCCGCGGGCTGTGACGCAAATGGCATATCTCCTTTAACTCCCTGCCGTGAGTTTTTGTAAATACAATGCTGGCTGCAAATATTTCACGCAAAACCACCTATCCGACGGTGGGTGACGAGTTGGCTCCGTGGGGACGCGGTTGCATAACTCGACAAACTTAATAAAAACGTGCACGGACGGACGCGGGTGGTGCATGTGCTCTTTTTGGGCACCGGATTCGATCTGATGCGGTCGCATCAGTCATCGACTTTCTGTGCCACAAGCAGAGCGGATAGATGGAGAGAGAGACAGTGGCCTGGCTGAGCTGCGCGTGTGCCGTGTTCCAGGACGCATGCACGTCTAGCCGACAGGGGAGAGACAGGACAGCCGGAGTGGGACTGAGGACCACATTCACAGGCCATAAAGGGCCCCGCTTGAACACTATTGTGCTCTTTTATCAAAGAGTCCCCAACTATTTACAAAAGGTTGGCCAACACACACACGCGCACACACATTCACACACAAAAGTGTCGCGGGGAAATGGTGGCGACGGTTACAGCAGCTGCCACGGCTCTTCTCTCTGCGCAAAGCGGCAGCGCAATGATTGCGCAGCGCCGGACTTCCCCAGCTCACAGCAAAGTGTCTGATTCAGCCCAAAGACGGTTTTGTTCTTTTTTTTTATTATTATTCTGCTCTCATTCAGCCTGTCCTCCTCTGGGTCAGGCAGCGAACCAGACGCGCAGAGCCCGCTCTCATGGCACGATTTGCATCGCCCCCATTATCCCCGAAAATCTCCTTTTACACGGTTATATTGTCGGGCTTGAAAAACGCCACTATTTCCAGCAACAAAGGGGCTGCTTGGTGTGGTCAGAGGTAAAAGCCATGGATAAAATGCACCTTTCACGCCGGAAAGAGGCCCCTCGTAACGATCGCAGCATGGCAGGGGAGTGCGGCGTAAAAACGAGCTAACCCGACTAAAATATACAAAAACACGGAGCGAGTTTATCACGAACGCATCCATCCACACGATGGAAACAACAATAAACCATCCACAGCCTTTTAGATCAACCTTCAGCCGGTGGGAAGGCTCCCATCACGGATAAAAAACGCTGCGTTTTGCGGCTCCGTGCCACCTTTTCCAAGAAGCAGCTTGGCGCACAGGACCAGTGACCCTTCCATCTTTGCGCGTCCTTCTACCGAGCGAAATCACGAGCAATCGTCAGTTCTTACAGCTCCTAGTGGACTACAAGACGTCTCGGTAGGCGATTCTCGCCTTTGAGGAAGTGGACGCTTCGTGTGAACGCCGCTACAAGTCTCTGAAAGTATTCCTCTCCCCGCCGCGGCCAGGCAGAAACAAGAGGGCGATGACGCCATTTTCTGCAAAAACAACCATGCTCGGGAAGCCAGCGCGAAGGAGGTTTAAGCCGCTCCGCAGCGCTCCGGTCCCGCTGAAACGCACCTAAAACCAGTCCTTACCTTGAATCTGTCGGCTTGGCGGTGGGGGAGCGTGTTTCTGGAGAGAAACTGCGCGATCGTGGCTAACTTGGACCCGGGTGGTTGTTGATTTCGCCTCCCAGCGTCCCTGGCTCGCTCTGAACAAGTTCCTCTGCGAGCCGCTGTCTTTGTGCACCCAGAGGAGCCACTCGGCATAAAACCAGTCCCCCTGCGCAAAGGTGCACCCTCTGCGTCCAATTTCAGCCGCAAAACCCGCGCCTGGAGGGCGGCGTTTCGCAAAATAGACGAATTTAAACGGATTTAAATGAAAAAAGTTGAATAAATCGCCCTGCTTCGATCGGAAGCCACGTTTGTAGGGAGGACTCGGGCAGCCAAAACGCACAACCTTTTGAGGACACACGCTTCTCCACAAGAGACCACGACGCAAAGTAAAGGAGGGGAAGTTCCACCCTTAAAGAAGTTCAATCAGAAAATAAAATACTTTATGTTAACAGTTCATTAAAACCCACCAGAAAGCTAACACTGTGATATTCACACTTGTGGGCACGTTTAGAAACACTTGACTCAATCCATATTACAGATATCGATGCAATATTTTCCTTATTTTTAGGAATATAATTACTTGAATTGCTTAAATTAACATATTGTTGTGCAAACAAACCAAACCAAGTACTTTTAAATAAATAAACAAACAATGATAAAGTTCTCCAAACAACCACCAAGAAACAACATTTTCAGAAACTGGATGTAAACGAACAAACTAAAATGAGAATAACAGAATAAAAAAGGCAAAGGAATGCAACTAGACAAAAATACTGCAAATTGTATATTTTTCCCCACAAAAAAAAAAACTAAATTACATATTATAGAATCTAATAAAATAACCTGATACATGCTCAATAATCCAGGTAGAAAAATCCAAAAAAATTCAATCTGGTCCTCTGGTCTCCACTAATAAAATAACATGCACAAAAACAAATATCTATCGATTACAACTAAAATGACAGGCAAAAAGTTCAATGTTTATACAGAACAAAGATAAAGGTATAAAACCTTCTGCTCAGAGTATGTGTTGAGGATGACTCTCAGCTACTACCACACCAGATTTGAGCTCAATATCTGTTAAATTGACTTAGAGCCATTTTTGTGTTGACAGGTTGATAAACTGCGGTAGGCTTTGGTTAATTTAAAAGGTTTGCTGAAATTTGTCCAGTGGTTCAGGAGATATTTTGCTAACAGAAAAATATTTGACCTATAAAGATTCTCACTGTAATGATTCCTTCATGGAATGCTTTAAATGTTTTATTTATTTATTCTAATAAACAACTAATGTTGACTACTGTTAGCTAAAAACTTTGTAAACAAGTTTTTAATCATGTGTGTGTCCTTTCACAGTAACACTTTCTTATATTTTTGTTAAACTGATCATTTGTGCCCAAAGTTAAAACATTTGTCTTCTAAAATTTTACTTTAAAAAAAAATGAAAACAGCTGGAGTTAAAGTGAGCTAAGTCAAATTAGCACTAGCAAAGTCAACTAAAAACTTTCGTAAATAAGTTTTTAATCACACTTGTATTCCAAGACACAAACTTTTTTATAATTTTATGTGGAAAAAATGTAATTTTCTGAACACTTTACTGCTATTTTACCTTTCATATGAAAATAAACTAACTAGCAGCTCTGCTGAAGTCCACGTGTGTTCAGTTGAATTAGCATTAGTGTGGATGTGATAAAGATTAAGATAGCTACTTAGCTAAGACATTTAGGGTTTTAACCATACCTGTGTTCCCTCACAAAAAATGTCCTGTGTTTTTGTGACTGAAGTAACTGTTGCTGTTTTACTTTTTGAATAAAAATAATAAAGTGAGTAGTTGTTGAAGTCCGAATAAGCTAAGTCGAGTTAGCATTAGCAAAGACGGCTAATGTTAGCTAAAACATTATATAAACACGTTTTTAACCACACTTGTTCTCCTTCACAAAAACATTTTCCAATTTTTTTTTACTAAAGTACAGATTTTTGCGATTTTACTTTGTGAATAAAAATAATAAAGTGAGTAGTTGTTGAAGTCCAAATAAGCTAAGTCGAGTTAGCATTAGCAAAGACTGCTAATGTTAGCTAAAACATCATATAAACCCCTTTTTAACCACACTTGTGCTCCTTCACAAAAACATGTTCCAATGGTTTTTTTTTTTAACTAAAGTACAGATTTTTGCAATTTTACTTTGTGAATAAAAATAATAAAGTGAATAGTTGTTAAAGTCCAAATAAGCTAAATCGAGTTAGCACTAGCAAAGACTGCTAATGTTAGCTAAAATATTCTGTAAACACCTTTTTAACTACACTTGTGCTCCCTCAAAAAAACATTTTCCAATGGTTTTTTTTTAACTTTTTTTTACTAATGTAAAGATTTTTGCGATTTTACTTTGTGAATAAAAATAATAAAGTGAATAGTTGTTGAAGTCCAAATAAGCTAAGTCGAGTTAGCACTAGCTAGTTGGCTACTGTTGGCTAAATAGACTTGGGTTCCCTCACAATAAATGTATCTGACTTTTCTTAGACAAAAGTAAAACTTCTCAATCAATCTTGACATTTTAAGTGTCTAAATATGTGATTTTATTTATTATTTATTTTGCTGTAATGTGTTTTTTAGCCTGATGTTGCCATGCTAGTTAGCCTAATAAGCTAATCAGCAAATTGTTTCGTTAGCATGCATAATGTCTTAAAAATACCACAATTTGAATGTTCTTTAAAATAAATAACATAATAAAACTAAGAACTGTGACAAATAAACACATATAAATTGTACTTTTATGCTATAGGATTTTTCTTACCGTGTTTTCAAGGTAAACCGGTTAGCTACAGGTGCTGAGATAAGACCACCCGAGGAATATACAAAATGTCAAATAAAAAGAGAAGTTAATTACAAGTCAGTATCTCACACAAACACACTCTACCAAGCTAAACTATTTTAGCTAAAAAGAGTTAGCTGCCTCACAGACTGTTAAAAATATAGAAAAGAGCAGTTAGGCTAATTAGTGCCAGCTGTCCCTGATATTACATGTAATAACAGTGAGAGGATGCTCAGGTGAGTTTATACACATACAGGCAATACAAGTGACAAAATAAAACTTTTTTCTCAGTAAGACATGAAATGACTTGTAGTAAACTAATTAGGAAAAAAAAATCAGTAAAGTTATTTAAGATTAATGCAACTATAAAATAGTTGCTCTGGTTCTTGTGCTATAAACAAAATTTACTAAATGCCTTTTATAAATGGCTATTTTATCACAAAAGGGAACCTTAAAAGAAATCTCAACTTTAACTTTAAATCACATCCGCTGACAATAAACATGAGCAATTGTTTATTTTCTACTTTTGAATTGTTGAAAATTAATGAGGTATAAATGTGTAGTACTTTATTAGTTTTATAACCCCAACTAGGACATCTTAATTTTTTATGATTTTTTTTAACTAGAAGTGGTTGCCACTAAATGCATCTATATACTGTGTGTGTGTATATA